ATAATCTTAACATCTGTAAACATCTGTACCTGCACATGTCTCGGTATAAAGCAGTGACGTTATTTTCAAGCTCAGTGTTGAGTCCTAATCTTTATATATATATATTTATAATATATAGACTGTGTAGTGGTGGGATGTAACAAAGTACTTAAGTACATTCTTCATGCATCCATCATGTGTTTTTGTCTCCAGCAAAGAGAAATAATCTTAACATCTGTAAACATCTGTACCTGCACATGTCTCGGTATAAAGCAGTGACGTTATTTTCAAGCTCAGTGTTGAGTCCTAATCTTTATTTTTCTGCGATGGTTTGGACTCAGGAATCATCACGTTGAGGAATTAACTTTAAGAGACTGATTTTTTCCCCCTGCCCAGTCGTGGACCCCTCTGATTGGCCAGATGTGGACTCGCAGCCTCTGAGCATCGAGGACTCGTGGAGGCTGCGTGTTGCGTCTGCTCAGGCGTTCTGCATCGTGAAGAACAGGGACATGGAGCACTTTGAGAGAGTGCTGAAGTTTCTGGAAGCCACGCACAGACTTCTACCCAGACTGGTGGCTCCCATCAAACACATGAAGATCGTGTTTGGACTTAAGACCCTGGTACGGACACGAGTGGTGGTCGCACTCATTCATGTTCTTTCTTACAATGGCTCTAGCAGCAGTGGTTTTCTCTCCAGATTATTAAAATGTCTAAATTGAAATGTTCTTTCCTCCTCCTCCTGTTTATCGTCCTCTCTCCTGTTGGCGTCTCCCTCAGGTCATCATGTGGATGCTCAGACAGCGTCGAGGGATGATTGACACTATGTTTAAAATCACCCAGTTCTTCCCAAATAAACTCCCTCAATATCAGGATCAGTGTGTAAGTGTCCGACAGTAGAACGATCTGCTGTGCGTATGTTTAAGTCTTTGAAACGGTTAAACAGGATCTTGCTGAACATTGAGTCAGGGCCTCAGTTCCACTAATCTTTTACTGTGGAAAGTTCTCTGGAAGGGAAAACTTGACTCTGATGATCGATCCTCTGTTTTCATTTTTGTTTTCTTGCACAGAACCAACACGAGATGTTCCTCATGAGGAAGAACAATCTGGACTTCAAGGTTCTAGCTCAGGCTCTGGTGATGGACAAGGACAAACTGGAATATTATGTCCAGGTAGAAACAGGAAAACTTTAAGACCTTTGATAAAACTCATCAGGTTTAAATCTGTGTGATTTATTTAATGGCTGAAGAGTTGAAGTGTGGAAGAATCTATTTATAAAAACATGATGCACATTAAATCTTTGACGTCTCAGCTTCCAGCTCCTACTCTATCCAGCAGGTTGCGCCACAGAGCTACAGTTTAAGATGAATCCTTTCATTCATCGTCTCCGTTCAGATGATTGAGGACGAACTGATGTTTACAATGTGGCTTTGTCTGGTGAACAAACCAAATAAACTCTAGATCCTGTGAAATTCTCCATAAACAGTTAAATGAAAGAGTTGCACAAACTTTTCTGTGACCCAGGTTGGTTTTGCAGTTAATAGTTTATAGTTAATAATCGTTATTATCATGCTGAACTTTATTTTACTTTTCAAAACATCGCTACAAGGTGCTTAACACGTTAAAAATGACGGATCGAACAATTAAAAGCAGAAAGTAACAGGACAGAAATATGAGAATTAAAGTTTAAAAAACACAAATGATGAAAATAGTCAGAAGCAGAATATTAAAGTTTAAGTTAAATTCAGACCCAAAGTCCTGAGAACGTACACGTTAAAATATCTATAAGAGATTTAAAAGAGGATCGTTCCACAGACTGTGACAGAGAAGAAACATGTCGTGTCTTTTCTTTCAGAAACGGATGGAGCAGCACTACGGGGAACATTATGCTCAGAGAGTCGAGGACAGGCTGCTGCAATATCTGCAGGAGCTGGAGGCTGCGTTACCTGGAGACACTTTCATCGACAAGGTGTGTGTGTGTGTGAGAGAGCTTTGATATGTGCTTATAGTTTTATTAATGAGGCTTCATGTTGAGGGTATTTCTTTAAATTTGGTGCAAACTTTCACTCGAGGACGACGTGGGTTGAACTTGTAGGTCAAAGGTCAAGGTCACTGCGGCCTCTTGAACATTTGATCTCACATGTAGAAATGTGTGTTCTAGATCCTGAAGAAGGAAAGTCCTGTTACTGACGAGGAGAAGCTGCTGCTGGATGTAATTACATCCGACTCCACGACCATAGCGATGACTCTGAGGAAGCTGCTGCACTGTGGTAAGACACAGACGCACGAATAATTCTTTAATTTCATTTTTTAATTATTTTAATTTACTGTGGTTACTCTGCCCTGTGGTGTTTTAATCCTCTGGTATGATAAGTTTAGCACTTTTCTTTTTCGTTAAATTAAAACTGAATTCTTTAAACGGCCCCTAATGCTCTGCAGACAGACACTGACATGTAAAACTCATTTTCAACCTGACACAGAATAATGAACTGTCTGTGTTTCCCTGAGTCTTTGCTCCAGTGACAACAAACCGCACATTGTGTGTTTCTCATTTCACACGTAAGTCAAAGTTCTAAAATCATGTAAATGTTTCTGTTCTTTAAGATGCAGCTTCCTGTCGTCCAGCTGTGGTTTCTCAGGCGTCAGAACACGGAGCGACTGAAGTGGAAAACTCTGGACTCACAAAGTCTGTTGTGTGCCGCAGCTCCTCAAACACTCGTCTCTCGTCAGTAGAAGATAAAACTCCCCACGAGTTCCAGCCTGAGGTTTTAGAACGAGGAGATGTGGCAGCACAGGAAGTGTCTGTAGAGACTCACAATCATCCAGATGTTGGGAGACGTCTACAAACAAAGGAGGAGGATGAGATAATAAATAGAGCGGAGGAAACCGGTCTGAGAGCAAGTGAAGCTGCTTCGTCTCCTCAGTTCTGCTCCAAACACCAGCGCTGGGTGAAGAGCATCCTGCAGGAGTGTCCTGACGAGTGTTCAGAGGAGCTGCAGCTTCAGGCCAACGTCTCCTCATCTCCGCTGCTGTTCCAGTCGTCCTCCTCCACCTCTTCCTCACAGGACCTCACCCCATCTGACCTCATCCCGTGTCCCCCCGACCGACAGCTCACTCCTTCACAGACCGCCACCCGTCCTCCGACAGCATTGGAACAGGGAGACGTCACAGACGAGCGGCGCTCTGGATCAGCTAGTGATGGATCTCTGCAGCAGCGCTCCTCCAGAGACGCTCCTCTGTCCTCTGCGTTGTCCCCGGTCGTCAGACTGATGGACGTCACCTCTGTCAGAGGGAGCTGTCCCTTCCTCAAACCCCATCATGCCTCTCCAAATACTTTCATGTCCCGAAACAAGCAGGCAGCTTCCACTCCTCATTCTCCTCAAGACCCTGGAAGTTCTGTCCCGACAAATATTACAAACACAACAAACAGATCACAAACGTCCCCTCTGTCTCACGATGCTTCTACATTTTCCTGCTGTCGAAAACCAACTCCACAGACGTCTTCCAGACGAGCTGCAGCGGCCTCCAGACGAGCACAGACTCTGGATGTAGCCGAGCAGTTCAAACAGGCTCCAGCTTCACATCTGCTCTCGTCCCACCACAGTGTCTCTTCGTCTTCTGCACATGAGTCCTCTGCCTCTCAATCTGAGGCTCTGTCCTCAAACAGAAACCCTTCGTCTCCCAGATCATTTCGACAGAACGACAGTCCTCTTCTATCTCAGACTGACCCACGCACCTCCTCCACCTCCTCCACCTCCTCCACCTCCTCCACCTCCAACACTGATCATCTCCCAGTCAGGTCTGAGGCCTCCAGCGCCCAGCTGAGGTTATCTCTGCGGAGTCAGGCCGTGCTGCTGCAGTCGGCTCTGCTGCAGCCGTACGTGAGCCTGACCAGGCTGAGCGCTCGGGAGAGTCAGCGGCCGACCAGGAGCAGACGTGTGGAGTCCGAGTCACTAGATCCTGATTCCTCTTTTGACTTGAACATTCTTTATTCCAGTCATTCTTCCAGCGGTGACTGCGACGATTCGCTCGACTCTGACCCCGACTACAAACCTCCCACTGAACGGAGAAGACGAGTCTCAGAGTACGATGCTGCAGAAACCCTGAATCATTCTGACTGATGGTGGAATCAACACTGGAATCGAAATGTTGATGTTACGTGTTTGAAAAATCTCATGTTACCAATGGAGACATTTGACTTTGTAAAACTCGACTCCTCAAGGCCCCCTGGTGGACAAACTGTGCAATGTTCGACTGTTTACCTCAAACGTAACTTATTAACTGAAAAACACAACAAATCAATTAATAAACTGATATTGTCTGATATATCCACTTGATTGATCAAACGTCTTGTTACATCTGCTACGATTTTCACGTAGAGACGATGACGATATTGGGGAATTAAAAATCCGACTCAAAATAAAAAAAACAACAAAGAAATGTGACGAAGGTTTGAGATTTAGAGTTCACACTTTAACCACTGACTTTATTATAAATTACTAGAAATAAAAAGAAAACACACCAATTATACAGATTTATTTAAAGTAAGAAAATATGTCTTTCTTAAAGAAAGTGCAGGACCAACCTGAGTCCACTCGCCTGCTTCCTCTTGCAGACATTGACCTGTTCCCCAGGGACCGCCCACTCCAATTCACGTCTGCGTTCTTTGGCCAATCGCGTGCCTGCTGTTCCGAGTCGGTCAGTCAGTGGTTAGTCGGCGCGGTGTGATGGGCCGTCCGATGGCACGACACAACACCACGCTGTAAACAAGGCTGGTTTAGACGTGAATCACGGGGGGGGGTCAGCGCAGAGGTCAGCAGATCCTCCTCTGTTTGCTCATGTGTGTTGACACAGGGCTGATGGAGGCGGGTCCAGTCTCTGCTGGAGGTGAAGTAGGGACACTGCTTTGTGGCTTTTGGCCCGAGGATTGATTGTGAAATATTTATAGACGTAAAAGTTTGAAAAGTTGTAACGAACTTTACTGAACAGAAACTTCAGCACAAACCGTTAAATATAAAAGATCCTGGATACAAACGCCGCCGTCTCACGCTTCAGACGTCTTCTGGAGTCGCTCTGTGCGGCAGCGATTGGTGGACGGAGCCTGTGTGCGGAGGTCCCGACCAATCACGAATCAGTCTCAGCTGTCAATCACAACATTCTTATATCATCAGAAAGCTAAACTTTTTTCCGGAGATGGTTTCTGTAACTTCAGGCGTGAGGCGTCTCTTCATGCTGATGTTTGTCCCAAGTTCGGTTTGAATTCCTGTGTGTGTTTGTGTGTTTGATGCTGTGAAGACACGGTGACACGTCATGACGGAGACTTAGTTCATGAACATGGAGATTCTTAAACACGAGGTGAAATTCAAACAGTTTCAACTCGAGACCATTAAAGGACTTTTCACTCCAAGTTCACTTTTAGTCGCACGTTTAAAAAAGAAAAAAGTTTTCAGAACCAAGAAAAGAGTTATTGATGAATTCCTCCTCCTCCTCCAACGATCATGTTGTTCTTGTGTTTTGTTTGTGCTCCGGTGTCGTCACCACCAGGACCAAATGACCGAGGCTCTTGGCAAAGTGATGCAGCGCTGGTTTAATGGTGGAGTGCAAAGTGCAGTGTGTGGACTAAACTGTGTGTGTTGAGTTGTTGCATAAGAAGAAGTCGTGATCAAAACTGGAAAACAAACTAAATCAGAATTGAAATAATGACGTTTTCACTCATTTACACAATAAAACAATTGAAATCTCATTATTCTGCTTGAACTCAGTGTCGTACTCGTGACAGTAGATTAAATAAATCAGTTAATTCATCTGATTAAACAGTTTTATTTTCAGATTCAGGAGGAAATAACAAATTCACACCAGATATTTGTGGGTAAATTTGCCTCAGGTTGTGTTTCCCAGGGTTTGTTTTTACTTCTTTAATCCCGGTTGTTCTTCCTCTGGATGTTTACCGGCTTTTTCCTCGTATCACTGTTGCATCAGGATCATGTGATGTCGTATGTTCTCTCCGTGTGGCTCAAGAGCAACACAGACTGATGTAACACCACATGTTCTCCAGAGGCGACAGTGTGTCTGCCATTGTTTTCACCCTGTGAGTCTGGTTGTGTGTCTTCGTGGCATAATGTGGTTGTGTGGCTCATTTTAATCTCCACAATAATGTCACAATTGTGCAAGAAACACAATATAATTCATTTTAAAGTTAATGCTCCGAGTCTGTGTTGGCTCCTCCCTCCTCCTCCACCTCCTCCACCTCCTTGGAGCACCAGAGGATGACTGTGCACTTCTGGAGGAAACCTGGGGTCAAACGTTGGGGCCACATGAGCCGCCAGGGTCAAGTTCTCATAACTGTGTGTGTGTGTGTGTGTGT